ACGGCCTGGATAAATCCTTAAAACTTTACCCATCTCCCTTCTCCAGGGTGCCCTCACCATGTACCTGGTAGAGGCTTCCATCTGCCCCAAGATGCTCAGAAGTGGGCAGGCTGTGTTGCCGCTCAAACCCAGATCGACACACCCCATTGGGCTGCCTGGCAGAAGCAGAGTCCAGATGGTGGTCACTGGTGGATGAGGTCATAGCTGCAGCACTGGAGGCTGAGGGGCCTCTGCGAGACAGGGTCTCTTTTCGGTGGTGGATTAGCTTCCTAAGGGAGAGACAGGGAGATTACAGGGGGATATATTTCACAGCTCCCAAAGTCCTCATGCTGGGACCTCACATCCCCATCTCCCCTGTGCCCTCTGTACATCTCTAGCATCACTGAAAGACCCTACTCCATCTCCCACCACACTCACTGGAGGACTCCACGCTGTTCCAGGCTGTACTTGCCACCATCCCGCATAGCTGTGTTGTGCACAGCCTCGATGGCCCGATCAATGGCCTGGAGGACATCCTGTTCTAGGCCCTGGAGAGAGGCAGGGGGCACAGTTAGACCTGGGGGCCAACTTAATGAGCTTAGCCCAGACCTAGCCCAAGGTGGAACCCAGGTCAGAGAACCACGACAGCTAAAGCCTGGAATACTAGACCTGAGCACAGAAAGTCGAACTAGAATATGGAATGGGATTCTCAAGCTGCATTACTCAGCAAGTTATGGCACAGGGTGGCCACCATGCTGCCACTTTACATATTGAGGCTCCATTCAGAAATTTATCCCACAGGGAGGCTCTTGGCTAAGATGTTTCCGAAAACCAAGGGACTAAAACAAAAGCCCAGGGATCCCCATTTTGGGGCCAGAACCACACACCTAGTCTTGGTTCAAGGCCCAGGTTGACATGCCAAGCGGGATACCTCCAATGCCTGGAATCCTTAATAAATCGCTCTGGATCTTGTTGATCGTTCACAAAAATCAAGGTCATACTCCAGAACATCCCTGTTCCCAACCTCTGGGAACTAAGAACAGGTTAAAGGAACCTTTCCTTCTCATTCCTGGTGCCAGCTTTCATGCGCCCAAGGTGTCCCTGTAAGCTCCCAGACCCGCCTGGGAAGCAGTTTTGTATTTGTGGCAAAGGATGGATATGAGAGAGGGATCTGGTCCCTGCTCCATGTCCTGGGTTATGCCCAACAACCCAGGAGTCCAATACACCCTGCCTGTCTGGCACAGGGTGGGGGTATGGGGCCGCAGCTGTGAGACTAGGCACCCCAATCCTCTCCTGGCATACATGGTCCACAAATTTACATAGGACCCTCAGAGCTGAGGTGAACTCTCTCTCGTGTGAGTTTGAGAAGCTTCCTTCAGGCACAGACAGGAAAGCCCAGGTGATATGGAGTGCGCCAGAGTGCAGGGAGACAGGAGACAGAGAGAAGGACAGAAAGAGAGTGATACACACATACACACAGAGTAAGAAAGACATACAGAGAGGAGCTCAGAGAGGAATGGGGAGGCAGGCAGAGAGAGACAATGTAAAGAGAAATAGAAAGCTAGAGATAAAGAGTGGGAGAGAGTCGGAAGAAGAAAAAAAACATACACAGGTGGAGTGTTAGAATGACACAGAAATATGCAGTCAGGGAAACCAAGAAACATACACAGAAAAAAACCGAGAGACAGTGACAGAAAAGATGGTAGCCTCTCTGGCCTACGCAAATATCCTGCCTCATTGGTCCTGATTAGGGCAGGGGTCTCACAGGCCCATAACCTATGCCCAGTAGGGGAAAAAGACAAGATTCTCCTAAAAGGCCTTCGATGAGACCCCATTCCTGAAGAGGCAGGATCTGATACCTTCACCTCAGGCCCAGCAATCCTAGTGTCCAGTGACCCCCACTCTCATCCCAACACTCCTGGGATGAGATTAGGTCGAGAATATGAGCACACCCCTAGGGCCCAGAGCCCATTCCCTTTGCTAAGACCAGATGACATATCCAAATTTATCTTGTTATTTCTGTCCTGAACCAGACTGGAACATGATGTTTCCTAAAGGCTGGGGATAAAGATGGGACGGGGTGTCTGGCACAGGCCAGGCAGCCCTAGGCCCTCCTTTCCACCCTGGTCACAATAGACCAGCTGGAGACACAATACCCCAGCCCCTACTCCAGTAAGGCTGCTCTCAGAGAAACAGGAACTGGGACTGCAGCCTCCACTAGAGGAAAATAGGGCCATGGTCAGACCAGAGGAAGCCATGAGAAGGACTCACTTTTTCACAGTGGGAACAGCCCCCATTTCAAGTTCAGGACAAGGAAATGTGGAGCTCCTTCAACTTGCAAAGCAAGTAAGAGGAAGTCAGTCTGAGAAGTCAGGGCCTGAGGCCTAGGGAATAGAGGGAGCAGTGCCAGGGAGTGTCTGTAGAGGCTGGAGTCTTTGGTTCAAATAGGGTTAGGGCAATCTTAGGAAGAGCTTAGAGGATGGATGAGTACAGGATAGTGAATGACACTTAAGTCCCAGGGCTTGGGTGTCACCTAGGGGATGGGGATATCTATGGCTCCAGAGTCCAAATTGGGGGTTGAGAACCTGGATGTTTGGGAAAATAGGTGGTGTCCAAGGCGGCCCAGGTCTCGGTGGTGGAGGCAGTGACTTCAACTGGGAGATCTGGGGGGCGGGGGAGGCAAGAATGTGAGATCCTAGGAATACAGGGAAGGGACATATTAAGGAGTCTCAAGGATTTGGGAAACTGGCCAGAATTCAGGCCTGAAGTCTCAGGGTGCTCTTAAATTCTATTCAGATGGAGGTTTTAACACTCAGGGGTCTGAGTCTCAAGGAATTCACAGTAAGTCTTTTGATAGATCTAGAGTTGGCTGTAAAGGGCCAACTGGTTCTCTGTGCGGGATGCTGGCTCCCGGGGTCTCAGTCATCACCAGGCTGGGGCCTCAGGGTCAGGCTCTCAAATTTCCTGTTTGTCAGAGGTCCTGGCTTCGAGTCCCTGGGAGTCTGGGGTCCTTGGTTTGATATGTGAGCTTGTGAAGGCGTCTAGTGCCAAGGGCCACGGAGGCCAGGTCGGAAGGGGCACACTCACCTGCAGGCGGCACAGGTAGGCGGGCGGCACGTAGCCAGTCTCTCCACTGCGAGCTCGCGCCGCCAGCCACCAGTGCGCACTGCTACGCTCCAGCACCAGGAAGGTCTCGCCCGCAGCGAATGCCAGTGCGTTGGGCTCCGCCGAGCGGAACGCGTACAGCGCGCGGTACATGGAGCTGGGCTGGGCCGAGCAGTGGGTTCAAAACAGGCAGCAGAGGCTGCGGAACCTGTACCCTGGACCACAGGCCGGGAACTCCGCAAAACGCTCGCCCCGCCCCGTGACACACCACGCCTGCGCGCGCACGCCCGCCGAAGCCCCGCCCCGGAGCATGTCGACCCACGCAAGCAGCGCGGCGACCCACGTCGCGGACCCTAGGGACGCTGCGGGGCGGTCCTGGAGAGTCAATCGCCACTCTGGTCCGGACCTCTGTCTCCGACTTGGGCCCTTAAGTCTAGGCTCAGCTTACCCCGCCCGGCCCTCCACTTCCTTCCCCGCTCAAGTTCGAGTGCTGCGAGTCCTGCCTGCCGAGAAAGGCGCACGGCGCTTGTAGCCGGTACGCCACCGTTCCCCGGGGGAGTGGGTCCAGACCTATTAACAATAAGGATGGCGACCGAGAGGACGGTCTCAGTGTTGGATCCCGCTCAGGTGACGCTTGGAAGCCCCTTCAGGGGCCAGGTTTCCTTGGAGTGGGCTAGGGCCCACAACACCACAAAGTTCCTGCCCTGTACTGTGCCAGAGGTAGCCAATGTGCAAGTGTGTGTGGCCAGGCAGAGTCGGAGTGTGGGGGAAGCAAAAGGAACAGAAACCAGGCCACCGGATTTCCTGTCTGAAGTCGCCCCTTATTGGTTTATTTGCTTCCCACCCCCCCACCCCCGTCTTGGATGTTTGCATAAGGTTGTCAAACTCCCACCCCTTCAATCCCTATCATCTTGCTCTGTTAATTATTTCTGATGCCCCTTTCTGAGAGTATACAGGCTGGCAGAGGGTAGGGAGTAGGTTACCAAGTGGCCTTAAGAGCATGTTTGTCCCACCCAACTTTCCAGATAGTCCAGACCGCCAGGTTTTGAAATACTTGTAGTAGTGCCTGGGGGCGCCCAGGGAGCAAGGGCTATGAGCACAACCAGTCCAGTGTATGCAGTTGACTAGTTTTTAGCCATAAACACATAGGCCCAGTGGGCCTTGGGGAGGAGGTAGATACTGGGAGGTTCAGGTAAGGGGTAAACTTGCTAGAATCTGAACATCCAGACCCTACCTTCTCTGTACCAGGTCTGGCTCTACAGTTCAAGACCTTCCTTAGCCCCTCTTCCTTCCAGAAAGACCTCCTGGCACACAGCAGTAGTTCTCAGATGTGCTGGATGGGACTTTCATGAAGGCTGAGTATAAAATTGTAGTGTGGCCTAGGGCTGGGTAGGTATCACAACAGGTGGTGTCTTTAGGTGTCCAAGAGGACTCCCCTAACCAGAACATTCCTTTTCATTCATCCTTCGACCACAGAGCCCAGGGATACCAATAGGCCTGAACTTAGCAGCTACTTGAAGCTATAGCATTGGCCCCAGGACATATGACATCAAAACGTTAAGCCAACTAGCTGCTGGGGCACAAGAGGGTGAAAGCTGACCCAAAGTTTCACTGAACAGGGCCATGGGAAAACCTGTGTATAGTTTTTGAGTGGCGGTGCTACGCATTTGGCTAAAACAGATCCCAGAAGGACTGTGTATTGGGGAGAGGGGTCCTTTTGGGGGGGTCTCAGCGTGCTAGGTTGGGGGATTTAGGAGCAAGCCAAGAGGCTGTGACAACTGTAGGATTGATCCATGGGGTGGGAGCAGTGACCAGGAGAATATTGTGAGCCTGAGAGGAGACCACAACATGTAGTGAGGCTTTTGAAGGTTAGGAGTGGGGTTGTGTGTCCCTGAAAGAATGACAGCAGCACTGTGTACAATAAACAAAAAGGTTTATATTAGAACATATACACTCAAGGAAGAAAGAGGTATTTGCATCATCAAACATGGAATGTTGAAGAAATAGTTAAAATAAATAAAGATTCCAAGTGCAGCTAGGGCTGGCTCAGGCTGGGGCTCACAGAGGCCACTGCACATCAGCTCCAGGCTGCAGGGGCCAACAACTGGCCATACTGACCTCCTCCCTGACGCAGCACAGCTGTGCCTGGGACACAGAGTCTCTCAGGTACTGGAATAGACAGCAAGCTCACTCCCCACTCTCCTCACTTATTTCTGTGACAATGTCTATTAGGCTCTGAAGCCCAAAGATATAGCCAGCATCTTGGCCCTCATGCACCACAGTGTCCTCGCCATACAGCCTACAGGTGGTGTGCGCAAAGTCAATCATGCGCACATCTACTGAGCTGGCACCAATGGGCTTGAAAGCAAAGGCACCAGCAGACTCATCTGCTGACTCCTCTGAAAGGTCTTCCAAATCCTCAGCATCTGAGTCCAGGGCCACTTCAGGCCGTTCCTTGCCATCATAGATGACTAGCAGAGAGCTTGAGTAGAAGCGGTAGGACTCCTGTCGCTCTAACACAGTTTTGAGCTCAGCCAGCTTCTTGAGCACAGGGCTCAGGAGTTCACGGCGCAGGTAGCGCCCATTGTGGAAAAACTGGAAAAGTGCTTCCTTGAAGCCCTGCACTGACAGCTTCCGCCCATGGTACTTATTCATAAACATGAGCTGTCCGCTGGCCGCCTGGTATACCTGTGGGAGAGAGACCAGCAGGTCAGGAGCTGAGGGCCATCTAAAGTCTACACACTGGGGTGTGTATGTGCAATATGACACCCCAGATCAGATCCTTTAACTTGTCAAGTATGCTGATCATACATGAGCCACTGTCCTCTCTGATCTCCTACATTGAAGGCAGCCATCCAATCTGCATTTGGTGGTGTGCCCCCACACCTCTGCTCAGCATCTGGGTCCTTGGAGAGGACCTAACCCTTTTGTCTTCCTCTCTATTCCTGTGCACAGACTCTGGTCTCAGCCAACCAGGTCAACTTCAGAGGTGATCACCCAGACATGCATGCCACAGAAAGCAACAGATTCATGTAGGATCAAATATGGACTCTTCTAAGCAAAGAGGCAGGGCAGGGAAGTGGCAGTCACTGGATGCTCTAAACAGCCTTTGCCAAGCATTAGCACACCCCTCACCTGCATGCCACACACACGCACGCCAATGACTGCAGATGTACTCTGCTGACATTTTCGGATCTGGTTGGCTGCCTTCTCCTCTGAAGCATCGTCACCATGTTGGCGTGTGCCCATCTTGAGGTCAAGGACACAAGGCACCTCATAGCGGGAAGTCAGATTCTCCAGTAAGATAAATTCTGAGTTGTTAAGAACAATACTCCCAAGAGGAAGTGCTACTGCATGGGGCCTTGGCACTCCCAGGAGACAGTGCCTGGACATAGTAACCCAGAGAAGCCTGAGCCCGTAGCAGACTCCCATCAGTCTTCTCCATCTCCCACACAGGGAGCTCAGAACCAACTAGAGAGCTAAGAGGTACCTATACTTTTGTCAGGGAACTGGAATGACAGCAGCCTTCATTTTCATTCAACAGGGCCCAGGCTCTCCCAGTGTTGGGTACCTCACTCTCCTTCCTGAACTCAGGTAGGTGTAGGTCCAGTGTTGGACAATAGAAAATCCTCAGTTACAAATTAACATCAAGTATGTTCAGTAAATCCTATAGCTTTAAATGTGAATTGGAAATATCAGGATAAACTCATGAAAATACTTTTTTCTTTAAATGTTTATCAACCAGGTGCAGTGGCTTATGCCTGTAATTCCAAAATTTTGGGAGGCTGAGGCAGGAGGATTGCCTGAGGCTAAGAGTTCAGGACCAGCCCAGGCAACATATTGAGACCATGTCCCTACAAAGCATTTAAAAATTAGCCAAGTGTGCTAGTGCACACCTGTAGCGTTAGCTACTCAGAAAGCTGAGGCAGCAGGAAAGGGTGTTTAACCTTTTTACTTTTCTACTGCACACCAGAAGATAAAGAATAATCTTGGGTCACACATTAAATACATAAACACTAACACACAGACACACACACACAAGGTCTATGCATACTTTTTTGTAATATCTAACACTACAGAAATGCAAAACAGTTCTGAAATAATCTGCTTTGATTGTACTACCACACACCAGCCTAGGTGACTGAGACCCATTCTCAAAAATAAATAAAATAGGCTAAGTGCGGTGGTTCATGCCGGTAATCCCAGGAGGCCAAGATGGGTAGATCACCTGAGCTCATGAGTTCAAGACCAAACTGTGATAGAACGAAACCCTGTCTCTTAAAAAATAGCCAGGCACTGTGGTAGATCCCTGTAGTCCCAGCTTCTTGGATGGCTGAGACAACAGAATTACTTAAGCCCAAGAGTCTGAGGTTGCTGTGGGCTATGACGCCATAGCACTCTACCAGGGGCAACAAAGTGAGATTCTGTCTCAAAAAATAAATAAATGAATAAATAAAAAGATAAATGTCCATTTCTTAGCAGTATGCACTAGAAGGGTCTAGTAACAGTGGCCAGGAGTAACAAGTGCCCTAAAAGCGCACTGTTGTCTCATCATTTCCCATTAAAAGGAACCAGTGCATCGCTGTTTTACAGCCTAAAAGCTAGTAATGGTTTCTATATTTTTCAGAAATAAACACAGACATATAAAATATTTTATGATGCATGAAAATTAAATAATTTCAAATGATTGTAAATATAATTTTTTTTGGAGACAGAGGCTATGTACAATGGTGTCAACAGCTCACAGCAATCTCAAACTGTTGGGCTGAAGTGATCTCTTGCCTCAGCCTCCCTAGTAGCTGGGACTCAGGTACACACTGCAATGCCAGGCTATTTTGTTGTTGTTGTTGTTGTTTAGCAGGCCCGGGCGGGTTTGAACCAGTCTGGGTGTATGTGGTCAGTACCCTAACCACTGAACTACAGGTGCAGAGCCTATAAATAAAGTTTTTAAACACAGCCATACTCAAATATAGTATCATCTATGGCTGTTTTCATAATACAGTGGCACAGTTGTGACACAGACTCTGTGGCCTACAAAACCTAAACCTAAAATACTATTTGGCCCTTTCTTTACCCAACAGGTTTACTGCTCCCTGCTTTAGAGAAATGGTTGAGTTCACACATGTAGGACAGGAACTATACATGAATGGCTTTGGACCATTTTTCTATACCAGAAAACAAGACAACCATCACAGACTACATCTGAGTATCAGTAAGATAACAACTGCAATGGACTAAAACACATCAAGTATATTTAAATTCATGTATGCATAGTGATGCTACAAAACTCCCTGGTCACATCTGCAAGACATTAGGGAACCTACTCATTATTCTAATTAGTAAGTAAAGGAAAATAAATATTAACCTTTTCTATATAAATTATACTTCAGGGCCAGGTGCAGTGGCTCATACCTATAATCCTAGCACTCTGGCAGATTGTTTAAGTTCATGAATTTGAGACCAGCCTGAGCAAGAGTGAGACCCTATCTCTAAAAAATAGGCTCGGCGCCTGTAGCTCAACTGGCTAAGGCACCAGCCACGTACACCTAAGGTGGCGGGTTCAAATCCCCAGCCCGGACCCGCCAAACAACGACGGCTGCAGCCAAAAAATGGCCGGGCGTTGTGGCGGGCGCCTGTGGTCCTAGCTACTTGGGAGGCTGAGGCAGGAGACTCGCGTGAGCCCAGGATTTGGAGGTTGCTGTGAGCTGTAATGCCATGGCACTCTACCCAGGGGGACAGCTTGAGGCTCTGTCTCAAAAAAAAAAATAGATGAGTGTTGTGGTAGGTGCGTGTAGTACCAGCTACTCAGGAGGCTAAGGCAAGAGGATTGGTTGAACCCAAGAGTTTGAAGGTGCTATGAGTCACAACACCACAGCATTCTACCAAGTGTAAAAAAGTGAGACTGTCGGCTCAGCACCTGTGGCTCAAGTGGCTAAGGCACCAGCCATATACACCTAAGATGGCGGGTTTGAATCCAGCCCAGGCCTGTCAAAACAACCACCACC